CCAAAGGAATGGAAATCATCAAGTCGAAGGTATACCTGTTTCCCAGTGTTCACTGCAGCACTCTTCACAATAGCCAAGAGCTGGAATCAGCCCAAATGTCCATCATCAGATGAGTGGATACGGAAAATGTGGTATATCTACACAATGGAGTACTACTCAGCTATAAAAACGAATGAAATACTGCCATTTCCAACAACATGGATGGACCTTGAAAGAATAATATTAAGTGAAACGAGTCAGGCAGTGAAAAAGAAATACCACATGTTTTCACTCATTGTGGTTTTGATTTGCATTTTCCTGGTGATTACTGACATTGAGCATTTTTTCACATGGCTGTTAACCTTTTGAGAAATGTCTATTCAGGTCATTTGTCCATTTTAAAATTGGATTTTTTTTCCTGCAGCCTGAGTTGAGTTTCTTATATATTTTAGCTATTAATACCTTGTCAGATGGATAGTTTTCAAATATTTTCTCCCATTCTGCAGGTTGTCTCTTCACTCTATTGTTTCCTTTGCTGTGCAGAAGGTTTTTAGTTTGATATAATCCCATTTGTCTGTTTTTGCTTTTGTTGCCTGTGCTTCAAGGTCTTATTCAAAAAACCTTTGCCCAGTAGTTTTATAGTTTCAGGTCTTATATGTAAGTCTAATCCATTCTGAGTATATTTTTGTATATGGTGAGAGATAGGGGTCTAGTTTCATTCTTCTGCATGTGGATATCTAGTTTCCTTGGCAGCATTTATTGAAGAGACTGTCCTTTGCACAATATATGTTTCTGGCACCTTTGTTGAAAATCAGTTGGCTATATATACATGTATTTATTTCTGGGTTTTCCATTCTGTTCCACTGATCTATATGTCTGCTTTTATGCCAGTACCATGCTGTTTTGGTTACTGTAGCTTTGTAGTATATTTTGAAGTCAGGTAGTGTGATACCTCAGCTTTGTTCTTTTTCTTTAGGATTGCTTTGGCTATTAGGAGTGTTATGATTCTCTGTGAAGTTTAGGATTGTTTTTTCTATTTCTGTGAAGAATTTCATTGGTATTTTGATAGAGATTGCATTGAATCTATAGATCACTTTGGATAGTATCAAGTCTGTTTCTATTAAGACATTTTACCCTTTTTGTTCTTTTATTCTACAGGACGAAGTTTGCAGCATGATATTTCCAGTTCTCTTTTAAGCTGTTCAATCACAGACTTGTCTACAGAATACAAGAGTTTTGAAGAGAGTAGCTTCCCATCACCTGAACTCTTCAGAGGATCGGATTATTTAGGTGAGAAAATAATTTCAACCTTAAGTTGCTCCACTATACAAGCTGTTCCTTTATCCACAAATCCTCCAATGAATAAATGTTCCTTTTGAGAAGGCATACTTCTCTTCTTCACCAACATCTCCCTCCCCTGACCCCTACCCATTGTGTTCCATGCTCAGTCACTCAGAGCAAAAGCTTTCTGATCAGGGAAGGATGAAGAAATTTTGTTTATCATTTATATGTATTACATATCCAATTATTAATCAATTTTGCACATAATAAACGTACATTTGTTCTCTTAAACTATAAGCTATCTTTTATTTCCCATACTTCTGTTACTTTTTAGCAAATAACTTAAACATTAACTAGGCTAAGTCCCTGTTTGAATTTTCTCTACAAATTGTTATTTACATTGATTATACATATGAATAGAGCCTTAGGTTAATGATGACAGATGGAGCACATGCCTTCCTCCACAACTTTCTGCAATGGCAGATGTAATGATTGCTCCTTTCCTACTCAAAGGGAGTCTAGAGATTTATTCTTTGAGATGTTTTGGAACAGAGGAACTGTGGACTAGAGGACATTAGGTACTGTTAATAATAGGTATACAGTGGTGTTCTGAAATGTTGGTCCCAATTACTCATACCCTTTGTATAGCCTCATAGTGGGAGTGTACTTTTTCACTGTTTCGTTTTGGGGTTGGTCAGGTGACTTGCTTTGGGCTATAGGATATCAGTGAACTAAACTTAAGAAAAGCTTTGAAATGTGCTTAAAAGTTTGGGCTTGTCCTCTTGCACTTTTGCCATCATTATGAGAAGATATATCCTAATTAGTTTCTTCCTCTCCTGTGGGACCCCAGAATGAGAGGTACAGAGCAGAGTAGCTCCAGGCAACCTTCAGACTGCAGAAAGCTGCTCCAGATGATCTGTAGACCTGTAATTTGAAACAGAGCCTCATGAACCAACCAGTAGACATGCGAACAAGAGATAAATGCTTTTCATTTTATGCCACTGAGATTTTGGGTTTGTTTATTATACATAAAAGCTGACGGCTGCAGATACTGTACTGAATGTCGAGGAGAGGAAATTAAATGAAAGTGTACATCCTAAATTGTGAGATCTACTAACCCAATGCCTATCCATACCCCAACCCAACAGCTCATTTCTCTGCTCAGCTTGCAGAATACTGGCATCCAAACTTGCACCTTCTAGTCATGAGAATGGAAGATCCTTAGGAATCTAAGTAGCCTAAAAGAAAATATCTAAAGATATTGACATCAGGAGTCCTTCAATGAAAGTGACCAGTCAGAACACCTTACAGTGAAGCCAACTATGTGACAAGCCCTACCTAGGCTATAGGGATTTCACTTAGCCTTATAGGGCCCCCTTTTGAACATGAGCATAGAGCCAAGGATCACCAGACTTCTAAGGAGAGCCTACATTAAAGAAATGCAAAACATAACAAAATGAAATGTGGGAGTGACTTCGACAAGATGTCAAAGTCCTGGAGCCTCCTTCTCCCTATGGACATATCAATTCTACAGCAATGCATGGACCAATTTCCTTTGTGAGAAATCCAGAAACTAGTTGAGGGGCTCCTCCACCCTGGGCAAGCACGAGGTCAACCACATTGAAGCTGGTGGGAAAATTTGAGACATCCTTTTACCATAATCCCTACTCCTGGAACAGTGCAACACAATTGGGAGGAAACACGCTGCTCCTAACTTCTCCTTGGTGGGGGAGGGTGAGAAAAAAGACTGGACCATACGTCCAGTGTTCTAAATTTTCTGAGGGATGCCTGAGGGACTGACTTGTGTCTTGTCTGTCTCATAGTGCTGACATTACCCAACATACTCTAGGTACCTGGTAGCTTCTGAGAACAAAGATGATAATTTGGTCTAGCATGCAAGCATTTCCCATAGCTCCTCCTCCTAGCTCAGTGCAGAGCAAGTGTGCAAAAAGTCCCCAAAACACAAACACAAAAACAAACAAACAAAAAATCCCACAGATCCCAGCTTTTCCCTGAGGAGGGAAAGAGTTGGACTGTGCATCCAATGTTCCAACTTTTCTTGGGGCTGTCCGTGGGACTAGCTTCTGTCCCACCTGTCTTGGAATTCTGACAGAACCCAACATTCTATAGATGTCCAGGGCCACTGAGAATAAAAATGGTGGTTTGGACTAGCAGGAAGATTTAAGAGGCCCCCCAGAATCTCTGATTGAGCTGATTACTGAGAGTCTGCACCTGTACAAGGCCATGAGACTGGGAGAGGTGGCTGTTTTTAATAATGCACAGATACCAACACCAAGAGTCAAGGAAAATAAAGAAATGAGGAAACATGGTCTAAACAAAAGAACAATATAAATAAAGCCCCAGAAACCAATCCTAATGAAATGGAGATATGGGAATTATCTGATTGCTAATTCAAAATAATCATCATAAGGATACTCAGCAAGCTCGGGAGAACAGTGCATGAACAAAGTGAAAATTTCAACAAAGAGAAAAATTTTAAAAGAACCAAACAGAAATCTTGGATCTGGAGAATACCATAAACTGAACTGAAAAATTCAATAGAGAGGTTCATCAGCAGACTAGATAAAAAGAAGAAGGAATCAGAGAACTGGAAGACAGATCACTTAAAATTATGTAGTCAGAGAAGCAAAAAGAAAAAAGAATTAAAAAAGTAAAAGCTTAAGAGATTTGAGGGACACCATCAGGTGGTTCAAGGTATCCATTATGGGAGTCACAGAGGAGAAGAGAGCAAGAAAGGTCCAGAAAGCTTATTTAAAGAAATAATGGCTGAAAAAAACCCAAATCTGGAGAATGAATTGGATATCCAGGAAGCCCAGTGGACCCAAATAAGAAGAATCCAAGAAATCCACACCAAGATATTCTGTAATCAAATTGTCAAAAGTCATAGAGTATTCAGAAGCAAGAGAAAGCAGCAAGAGAAAATTGACTTGACATGTATAAGGTAACCACCATAAAACTATGAGTGTGTTTCTCAGCAGAAATCTTGCAGGCCAGAAAGGAGTGAGATGATATATGTATGAGGTGCTGAAAGAAAAGTTGTGAACCAAGAATACTATACAGAGCAAAACTATCTTTCAAAAATGAAGGAGAGATATAGACTTTCCCAAACAAACAAAAGATGAGGAAGTTCATCACCTCTAGAGTTGCCTTAGAATAAATGATAACAGGCGTTCTTCAAACTGAAACTCAAGGACACTAAACAGCAACATGGAAGTATAAAACTCAGTGGTAGAAGTAAATACATAGACAAATACAGAATACTGTAATACTGTTAATAGTGATGTGTAAATCACTTTTAATTCTAGTATAAAAGTTAAAAGACAAAAGTATTAAAAATAACTATAACTATAAAAATATGTTAATGGGTGTACAACATAAAATATGTAAATTGTGATATTAATAACAAAGTGTGGGAGGAAAGAATTAAATGTGTAGTTCTTGTATGGGATTGAAATTAAGTTGTTATTGGCTTATAAAACTTTACAAGTTTTTATGTAAGCCCATGATCACTACAAAGAAAATACTTACAGAAGATACACAAAAGAAAAAGGAAACAAAGCATATCAATACAAAAAAAAATCAATGAAACACAAAGGAAGACAGCAAGAGAGTTTAGAGGGACAGAAAACAATGAAGAAAATGACAATAGTTTAAGTCCTTACATATCAATACTTACTTTAAATGGATTAAACTCTCCAATCAAAAGACACAGAGTGGCTGAATGAATAAAAGAACAAGATCCAAGTATATGCTGTCTAAAAGAGACTTACTTTATATTTTAAGGACACATAAACACTAAAAGTGAGGAGATGGAAAAAGGTATTTCGTACAAATGGTAACCAAAAGAAAAGAGGTGTGGCTATATTTGAATCAGAAAAAATAGACTTTAAATCAAAAACTGTCACAAGAGACAAAGAAGGACAATATATAATGATAAAAGGGTTATTTACCAGGAAGATATAACAATTATATGTATGCACCCAATATCAGTGCACCTAAATATATAAAATGAACAGTGACAGAATTGAAGGGAGAAATAGACAGCAATACTGTAATAGGAGGAGACTTAAATATGCCACTTTCAACACTGGACATAACATTCAGACAGAAAATCTGTAAGGAAACAGCAGATTTAAACAGCAATATAGACCAAATGGATCTAATGGATATATAGAGAGAGCATTCTACCCAGCAGTAGCAGAACATAAATTCTTCTCATGCACACAGGGAACATTTTCCAAGGTAGAGTACCTGTTACGTCATAAAACAAGTCTTAACAAATTTAAGAAGACTGAAATCATACCAAATATATTTTCCAACCACAGTGGAATAAAATCAGAAATCAATAACAGAAGAAATACTGGACAGTTCACAGATGTGTGGAAATTAAACAACACACTCTTGAACAACCATTAAGTCAAAGAAGAATCAAAAGGGAAATCAGAAAATATCTTGAGACAAACAAAAACAAAAATACAACATACTAAAACTTATGGGATACAGCAAAAGCACTGAGGGAATTTTATAGTTACAAATGATTACATTAAAAAAGAAGAAAGATCTCAAATAAACTAACATACCTCAAAGAACTAGAACTCAAGGGGCCGGCCCGGTGGTGCACTGCTACAGTACATCGCTTGGGAGCATGGCGGCGCTCCCGCCGAGGGTTCGGATCCCACATACAGACCGGCCACTCACTGGCTGAGCGAGGTGCGGGCGCAACACCGAGGGTTGCGATCCCATTGCTGGTCCCAGTCCGGTACGGGTGCGACACTGAGGGTTGCGATCCATTGCCGGTCACGAAAAAAGACAAAAAGGAAAAAAAAAAAAAGAACTAGAACTCAAACTAAGCCCAAAGTTAGCAGAAGGAAAGAAATAATGAAGTTGAGAGCAGAAACAAATGAAATAGTGAATAGAAAAAAATCAGTGAAACTAGGAGTTAGTTTTTTTGAAAAGATAAAAAAAATTGACAAACATTTAACTAGACT